CAGGGTTCTCTGTTGCTCCACGATTGCTCGCCACGTGGCTCAGCTGCCTACTGATGTTTACAGCACCAAACGTTAACGGACTCAGCCGGTCACACCGGTTCTTGCAACTTTATCAATGGTGTTGAACTTTTGACTTTCAAAAGGCCTCGCGTGAAGATGTTTGACGCCCGGAACTGCTTTATCCATCCAGCAGCGGCGTTCCACCGAAGCAACCGTGAACGTTAAGGGCATTTGGCTTATTTATCTTTTAACTGGCCACCCGACTTCCGACCAACTGTTTCTCTCCTGGACCTTGTCAAGCAACCTAGCCGAGAGATTAAACATGGATTATCCCTGCGAGCTCGGCGGAGCGCCAGTATACTATGTTGACGATATCAACTCCGATGACGAGCGCAGCGATCCAGAGTTGTATTCCGCCTCATCAGTAGGGAGTCAGAGTGCTGACACTCTTGCGTCGTCTGACGTGCACGGTAAGCCGTTCATATTCCATTCGGATTAATGTAAACGTATTCTACAGACTATTTCCGAGAGGCACACGGCCGCATGTTCCCCTCCGATAATAATGTAGCTATATCCCTACCAACGGACTCTGCAGAAGTCCAGCGTTGTGCAAATCAGCACAGAGCCTTGAAGTTGCTGTTAAACTCCAATTACTGGGGACCTGTTGACGAGGTACTGACTCCAACTCAGAGACTCGAGAGAAAGAAAGTACTGGATATGATGACTGCCGAGGGAACATGGTATGTAGTGCTTTTCAGTATCTTCTCGGGCTAACTAACCTCCGATCCAAGGGCTCAAGAGATGGCACGACAGTTTCCACACGTAGACTTTGTCAGCCTAGACAACTTTCCACTTTGCGCCCATGTGCCTCGCCCAAACATTGCATTTGAGGTAAGGCCATACGCTTGTCCGTTTCTCGCGCCTCACAGGCTGCAGGTGTACGACCTTTACAACGGGATTGTCGCTCCTGATGCGACCTTTGACGTTGTGCACGTACGCCACGTGATGATGCAGGCGAGTTCCTCCCACTCGACGCTAATTAAAACTAACGTCTAGATTGGTATAGCTCAAGAGGCCTAAAGACTTTATTCGAGACGTGCATCGTGTACTAAAGCCCGGCGGGTTATTCCTTTTCAGCGAGAGCGAGCTTGATGGGTTCGACGGCCGGAACCCGGGATTTCCCGCGCATGACACCCTCCCCGCACTATGTGAAGGGTTTCGTATCACACGCGACGCACTTACCCAGCAAGGAGTTGACGTTCATATGTGGCGCGACTTGCCCAGCTGGCTCTCTCCAAACTCTGACTTGTGGGTATCGACAAGAACTAAAAAAGGAGATAAGAGAGTGGGGTTCAGGCATATCCGGTATAAATCTGAAATCGTTCCGGCCGGCCCGTGGCCTGAGGACGAGCGGCTTAAAGAGGTCGGTAGGGTCGTTGAGCCGGCCTGGACTCATATTTGGAAGAGTATGGAGGCACCCTTGCAAGTGTTCGGGCTAGATTCGGTTACTGCCAAGCGGGTTGTACAAGGTGCAGTAAGTGACATCGCGAGGCGCGATGTAGCAGTTTCAGCCAAGCACCACCTAGTTTATGCTTTCAAGATCTAACCTTATGAATATCGCTTTTATTTGATCGTTTTGGGATTGCTTTGCCCGTTGGGATTGCTAAGGTTGTATTAACACTGCTGTTTTAGCTAGTACACTAGTTCCTCATGATACTGCCCATAACGATTGCTTCTGTATCGAACAGTTTGACTAAGTACGGACTGGTTATAAGAACGCTCGCGGTCAACCCATTTGGCGTCGCATACGAATCTTTCAATGCATATATGCACCAACTGTGTGGTTTGGTTGTTCACCGCTGCTGTCTCTTCAGCTTGTCCAAGTTACACCTTACCTGAGCAAGTAAGGTTCGATTCAGGCCGAGTGCGAGGTTTAAGCAATCAAAACGCGGAGCTCATACTTGGGAGTACATTATCCCGGCGCACTGTGTCCACCCTGGGTATTTTGGATACGTTGGGGATTTGTTTTTGTCGGCCACCGCCATCAAGTACGAAGCTTTTGCGATCGCCGACTACCAGCGCGACCGAGTTCCGGTATTCATGTGAGCGCCATTTCTCAGGCTCTGACGAACTTTGTCTTGGACGATAGGGAATAGGATGTACCCAGGCACGGCCTCGTGTCGATCATTCAGCCATGACGTCTTTGATTTTCAATATACCAGGATGACGCCTAAAGTTTGCCGTTCTCAAACATATCTCAGATTCTGCACAACTAGGTTTTGCCCACTCCAGGGCCCGAAACTCATATGTGGCACGATCACAGCGCGGGTCGATCCTGGCTCTGTGCCGAGCATTCAGTCCTAGGTGCCACAACGGGCTTTCGGGTGTCGCGGCTCGTTACTCCGCGCGGCCCGTTGACTGAGATAAACGGCATGCTGCAGAATATGGCGCCATGTGACAGCGGTGTGGACAAACTAGGGATTATCGTTGCGAGCATTCGGTGCATGTGTATACGGCAAAACACGAAGTGGCTGTTGCTGCCAAGGGCTTCAGGTCATGGTGTTCTGGCCTATCACATGAACTGTCTACTGGTCCCTTTAGCTCTGGAATCTGGAGCGTGTTTACCTAGGTACCATGTCTCCTTGCGTGCTCGCCCTATACCAGCAAGATCTGCAGCTTTGGACTAGGATTCTCGTGTGGGAATGACCGCAACAGTATCCATCTTCGGTAATTTGGGAGTGGTTCCTGTTCTAACTTTGGCGAGTAGGTGAAACGTTGTTTTCTCTGGAATGGAATAAACGTATGTAGATCCTATACATACACACACCTTGACTGCTGACTGGTACGCCGAGCTCATCGATAACACAGGCTGCTACGGCTGAAACTGTATTGGGCAGGCCCGCCTCCCCACCCTGCGCAGTAGACGTTCCCTTTGGGGCTAGTGCAAGAGGCTATCTTCAGCGAATTTGCTACTTTACAACAAAAATGAACAAACAGCCGACGGAAGAAAATCCCCGCCGAGCTTGCGTTTATGTTTTACGCGTTCTGTGCTCCCGTATATTAAGCAATGCGATGTGCAGGCGAACCAACTATCTCCCCTCGGTTATGAACCACCGCGAGACGACACCCGCACCTGTATACTTTGTCGACGATACCGAGCAAGATGACACCATGAGTGATATCGAATCGGTTGTCCCGTCTGATACGACCGCAGAAACTATGAGCACGCTGGAGTCCCAGGAAGCTATTGGTGAGTTATCGATCGTGGATACCATCAGTAGGCTAAGATTTCATCTGCAGAGTATTTTCAGCAGCTCAATGGACGTATGTTTCCGGCCGACGAGAACATGCCCATTGCTCTACCCACCGACCTGGGTGAGGTGAAGCGGCTCATGTTACAACACATTCAGCTCAAGATTTTCTTTGGGGCCAACTTTTACGGGCCAGTACATGAGGTGCTTACCTCAAGCCCCGGAAACCAGAAACGGGTCTTGGACCTTATCACGGCCGAGGGGTCGTGGTGCGTTTCTGTTTTCGCGTTTATTTACTAGCATCGCTGAGTATATGCTTCAGGGTTCAGGATATGGCCAAGGATTATCCTTACGTCCAGTTCACCAGTGTCGATAATATGCCCCTCGTCCCGCACACTCCTCGAGCAAATATCACCTTTGAGGTGTACGATCTCTATAATGGTATAGCTGAACAAAGCAACACGTTTGACGTTGTGCACTTGCGTCACGCGGCCATGCATGTAAGTGTTGAGACTGCTGGTGGTATTGTAGCTGACCTATCTCAGCTCAAGAATCCCAAGGCGCTTGTTCGGGAGATATACCGCGTGCTACGACCAGGCGGTCTTTTCGTATTTGGTAACTGGGAGCTTTCGGCTTACGAGGCAACGGTCCCGCAACGCCCGGCTCTCGAAAAGCTTCCTTACCTCTCCCGGGCTCTGCAGCTAACCCGAGACGGGCTCACTCGTCAAGGGGTTGATGTGAATATGTGCCAAGACATGCATCTGTGGCTGCGACCAGAGTCGGATGTTTGGGATTTGCCCAACGATCCTTCAAGTGGGTTTATGAATCCGTTTGCTGAGCGAATACTTGGATTCCGTGACATAGGCTACGGTGCATTTCTTGTTCCTATTGGGACTTGGTCGACAGAAAAGCGGATGAGAGACGTAGGGTCGATCGGGCACTATGGGTGGGCGCATATTTGGAGGAGCATGCATGCGCCATTTCAGTTTTTCGGTATGACTGCCGAGGAGGCAAAGCAGGCGGCAGACAAGGCTATCGAGGATCTCAGTGCTCCTGGTGTTCAAGTTTCGGTCAAGTACCATGCCACGTTTGGTTTTAAGCGTGTACAGTGATGTGTCTTGTGTGAATGTATCTCTCCCTGTATCACTTTGCCAAGAATCAATGGTCAAGTTGTCTGAATCGCTTGATGATTTGAGTTCCTCATGTAGAAGCAATGCGTGCAATATGGTGGATGCGTGGAATGGAGGTGTACATGGACTAGGAATACATGTGAGTGAAGCTAGGAGGAATGGGTGGCTTACAGGGACAAAGTCCTCGCGCAAGGTGGGGATAAGGGATAGAAGACTTGGAGAAGGCATATGGTATTACACTGCGTTGATGAGGCTCCTCTATCAGTATGTACATGGTTTTAATTGTATCTACAACGTAAGATTAGATGTTTCATGGGGTAGAGGCGCCGGAGATGGAGGTTCATGTTGGGCGATTTCATAAGGGTGCAATGGTCACGTGACTCCTAGTGTGCATACATCTACCCCGTAAGCTACGGCAACGGCCCTCGCCACAATAAAGCGTTGTGTAAGGGACGTTGGGGACGAGTATGTGAGCACTAACAAGGGTCTATTCTCTGGCAAATATGCTATCTCTTGGGGAAATCATGTATCTCTCTCGGGAAATTTTTCCCAATAATTCCTGGGCCATTTTTGATGCAAACCGAGACTTTCCAAGATGAAAACAAAGCGTAAAAAGCAGTGGACAAGTCCGGAATTGAACCGGAGACCTCCTCAAGTCACGTGACTGCCGGTTTAATTCCCGACTTTCATGCGAATGAGGCGCGATAACCCCTACACTACATGCCCCTGGGTGTATGCGTTCACTTTAGCGCTCTATCAATTCCATACTGACAGGTGCCTTTAACGTCGAATCACGTACATATGCGCAACCTATTTCCGCCTCGACATGGCTCCTCAATACTGGTATTCTGTGGGTGAGGGGGGGGAGTAGGATAACAAGGAGAGGTTAGCTTCATACGACGAGAACCTTGATGTATGCTGGTTGCCGTCATCGAACTAAAGGAGATTGTCAAAGATATAGCGCGGGCCCTTGGAGACAAAGGCTACCTTGAATGGAGGCGGGAGTATGACGGACGACAAAAGGTCCACGCAAAGGAGGCGTATTTGCAATATGTCTAGCGTTAAGCGCCCAGTCTCCCCCACCCAACCAGCGCAATTCAGTCCGAAAACACGATAATTCTGGGCTACACGCGTGTAACTAGCCCTCGGATTATGTGTAAGAATTCACTCGATGAAATAGTATGCAAGTGTATCACCCCAAGTTTCTGCTATCCAAGACAGCGGCCTCTCCCAGAGTGCATACATCCCCCGATAGATGGTAC